GTCACTGCACATGGAGGGGTAATAGAAACGCCATTGAGGAGGCTGATTTACTCTGCAAAATTTTCATCTCAAGGCCGTGCACCGTGTGATTGGTGCCAGTGTGAGTAACGGGAAATCATGCATTATGTAGTCGAATTTGACACGACCTTGAGACTCCGCGGCGTAGACCATCTATTACTATCCAGGCGACCTTCCCGACGCCGAAGATACATCTGATGTGTTTAAAGCTGCTTTACAATGCATTAGGAGGGCTTTACATGTGCTGAGCTCACTTTATTTGCTCATACATTTTCACGGGGAGAGTTTAGTGTCGTGCTGATGGGGGCCGTTCACAGTGAGTGAGTCACTTGTGGAGACAAATGAGCTCATGGAAGCAGGCCGGGGAGCCGGATAATAACGCATTTCTGGGCAAATTCCCTTCTTTTCTCCCTTCCGCTTTTACTTCCTTCCAATGTGCCGCACATTTACTATGCAGTGAACCCCGTGTGGGTTTGGGCTCATCGCTTATTCTCACTCGCTGTAATTGATTGACCTGCATCTTGAAGACAGGGAATGGATATAATTTTTCCCACCAAACAAACTGATGTCAGGATCAATATTCTCACTGCTGGTTAAGCTTTTGCAACCTTTAGAATATCAGCTCGAATCGATACCTCTCATTTCATTGTGCACGCTTTCAAGTAAAGTTTTTCCTCCTTCCCCGCTGATCATGTCAGTGACATCTGGTCTTCCTGTTGGACCTACGTGAAGGCCGGGGCCCCACAATGTGCCTTGACTTTTTCAGAATTGTGTCACATTCCAACTACAAATATCTGAGTAATTTATCGGAGTGGGGATTTATTTAGATCGGGATATGAGATAAACCAAATAAAGTAATGCCAAATGGAAGAAAAATTATGTTAAGTAAAATACATAAATACATTTTAAAAATATCTGAAAAGTGTGGTGTGCATTTGTGTTCAGCCCCCACGTGTTTCAATGCTTTGCTGTAACAGCTTTCGCCGGAGCTCCAGCTCTTTTGGGGGCATGTCTGTCGAATTTGCATATTTAGAGAGCGATTTATTTGCGCGAGTTCCAAATTAACTTAAGTCAATTCACATTGTAACGCATCTTATTTGGATTTAGGTCTGGGCTTTGACTGCTTTAAGAAATATTTCCAATCCAGCTCTGTCTATAGGTTTATATACAGGATTCTCCTACGTGTAGCTCCATGCATCTTCCCATCATCTGTGACCAACTTCTGTATCACTGCAGAAAGAAATACTCCACCACAGCATGATGCTGCCTCCACTATGTCTCCAGTTGAACAATGTGTCTTCAGGGTGATATCATTTTAGATGTTTGCTAAAATCTAAAATGATTTTGGCAAAATCACTTTGGTCTCATCTGACCAGAACACCTCCATCCACATTCTTACTGTGTTTCCTACATGGCAGGCAGCCAGATTTGGGGAGCACAACTATTGTCACGTTAACAGATTCTTCTGCCTCTTGGTTGCCAGCTTGGGTGGACTGTCATGTCTTCTTAGGCTGACAGTTTTGCCATGCTCTTTCCATTTTCAGATGATGGATTGAGCAGAGCTGAATGAGATGTTCAAACATTGGGATATTGTTTTACAACCTAAACCCTGCTGTAACTTTCTCCATCATTTTCTCCCCGACATGTCTGCCGTGTTCCTTGATCTTTTGACGTCGTGTGTTTACAAATGCTCTCCAACAAAAACCTCTGTGGCCCTCCCAGAACAGCTGTATTTAGACTGAGATTAAGTCACATAAAGAACAGCTGCGGCCGCTAATTACAATTTGGATGGAAGTTGGTCGCGCTTGATTTTAAACACGCAAACACTGTACTTTTCAGGTTTTTATAGGCATAACAGTACTTTTTCTTCCATTTCACAATGACGCAGTACTGTACGCGCACGTGAAAGTTCGATAAAATACGTTCACATTTCAAGGTCTAAAGGTACTTTGCGAAGCACTGTATTAGCATTTTATTGTTCTCGTCTCTCCCCAGCCACTTGTGCACCCCTGATCTATAAACACTTAGAGAAGTGAGATTATATTTACATATAAAAAGCCTAATAATTATAGGGAGGAGGAAGATGGGTGTTCCCCCTTATCAGAGGAAATGATAAGGGACTACCAGGCCCTGTGAAAGAACAGGGTCCATTTTGATATAATTGGCAGTGGAATTATTTATGACATTAATTGCCACATTATCGACTGGCTGTCAGGTCCCGTGTCAGTCTGTCCATATTTCTTAGCAGAAAGAGCCAGCTCAGCCCGGTGTCCACTGACAAGCTAATTACAACAGCACAACCTTGAATGACAAATGTTACTCATCGAGGACCAGCCAGGCCCGGAAATAAGGGCCACTTCTCCCCCTCAAGCCTCTCTGGATCAAATGAGACAGCAGCGTGCTGCCAAATGCAGTCAGGTGCAGGAGAGACAGGGTTTGCATGTCAGCAAGAGAGAGAGAGGGGGAGAGAGAGATGGAGGATAGGAACGAGAAAGTGAAGAAGATGTTGCTTAAGCAAGGAGGGCTGCTCCTCTGTACGGTGGACAGTTGTCATTCATAAAGACGTCTTTTTTTTTTCCTTCCATCTTCTTTAACTTGAGTAATGCCAATCAATCATCAGGCTGTGGGCTGATCGCTGCTGATGGGGTGATTTGTCTCTCAGTGCAGGTCCCACTGCTTTTCAGGATGTGGAATTAAACTTCCATCAAACTGCAAGCACTGAAACACCGAGTTCCTTTAAATCAAGGTTAACATCTCATTTGCTTAGATTTGCCTTTGATTCGTTATAACTAGAATGTAGATTATCTCTAGTAATCTAGTAATTTCACGTTTTTTTTTTTAAGACATTTGAGAAAATGTAATGTTTTGTTGCTTGCATGTTGTTATATGTTATGTAAAACAAAAAACAAAACTTGCCTTGCGTGATACAAAAAAAAAGTTACAAATTTGAACACGTCATTAATACACTGGAAATCTGAAACTATTTTCCACAAGTTTCAATAAAGTCAACGTAGCATGGACTATTCCTAGAACTTAAGATATGTTTTTCTACAGCAGTGAACATTTTAAAATCTAGTGCACCATAATGTAGAGCTTCATCAGAAAATCAGCCAGTGAACCGAAATACATAGTTTTATTCTTGACCATCGCTCATTGGTTATCAGCTTATAAGAAATCAAAAATCCAACCTCTCTCATGACCAGTGAAAGCCCCACACCAATCAGGTTGTGCTGTTACCAAGAGATCAGTTAGCTATTTTCATTTTTGCTTTGGTCTTAGAGCATTGAAATCAGAGTATTTTGAGGATTTATCTTTGGTGTTGAGCTCCAAGTCTTTGAGGGTGGAAGGCAGGATTCTGGTTGGGCCCCTCCAAAATGTCAACTTTACTTCCAGTCTGTAGAAACACCACATCTGTCAACATTAAGCCAGCAGATCCTCAATGTGGGTTTAAAATTCTGTCATCCATGTACTTTTGTAATAAGATTACTAGTATACAATGATAAAGACAGCTTTAAAAGCAAACTCTAGTCATTTTGTATGTTTCTTTTTTTTAAATAAAAGCATAATCTTGTACACCTACATAGCTGCGTAATGTTGACTGCTCACTCACACACAGTGGGATGATGCCATGGGTTCAAATTGAAATAGATATTGCCCAATCATAAATAGACTCCTCTTTTTAATTAGGCTTTGTTTGTACGGATACTGCCGTCCCACAACCTGGAAGATTTGACTGTATCTGTACATTTCCAACAAAGCAGAGTTAAGATAAAAAAAATCATAGTGCACCCAGACAGTATTCTCGGTGTTTCACTTTTCCCATATTTTATATTACAGTCTTATGACAAATTGTATTAATCTTTTTCTGCAAAATTCTACACATATTATGATAAAGTGGAAAAATGCTGCAAATTTCTTAAAAATAGAAAACCTAGAAATAACTGTACTACAAACAATTTCCTGCTAAGACAATTTAGTTTTGAATTTATCCTCAAAGAGAAACAAGTACCTTGTCATTTACAGTTCATAAGAATACATTTGAATTTGCTCAAAGTGAATGCATAAGGTCAGAGCTTTACAAAAATGATGACCAGAGGTGGGTTGTAAGATTTTCTTGGAGCACCCCAGCTGTTATCTGTAGGTCTAAATGAGTAACATTTAACTAAGCTCCACTTTAAATTTTACAACAGGATTATGAAACGTTAATGAACGTTAACGTTTGGCACAAACGGGGAACCACTACTGTATGTAATAAATAAATAAAACTGCACACATGCAGCTAGTTGAGGCTTGTGCAAACAAAGTGAAAATAATGAGCTTAAAAGTTAGACCATCTATGCAAGTGCACACATTCAGATATATCCACACACTGAGTTGAGCCTCCAGGGTTACTGTATCAGAATGTCAGTGATCTGCAGTGATGAAGTGGTGTGCCATTTGTTCATCCGCAAAGTTCCCAAGACGCAGCAGCGGCAATAGAGCCGAGGGTCACGGGGGTCATTGCCTACAGGTATATCTGTGGCTCATACCTTAATTAATCTACTGTCTGTGATGCCGAGCGTCCCAGTCATCCCTTCACATGCACAGAGGCGCACGTCAAGCATATGTCAACCCTTTCTGGCACTCCCCACCCACCCTGTAATGCAGTTTGTGTTGGTGTGGCAGCTCAGGATGCGTCCCTGACAAGGATGGGAAGTGACACACACCAAACTCGGTGTGTCCCCCAGCCAGCTCCGGTGGCTCGGAGCCTGTCAATTCCAGCTCCGTCAGTGGCACAGGCTCAATGGCAGTGCCTGTGACACATGTCACAAAGTTTTAAATGTCTGCTCTTTTCAGCAGGATGGCTGGGTGCATGCCGCAGCCAGGGGAAGGATGACATTTTGTGTTTTGTGGAGGGGTGGGGGGGACTTGTTGTGGCTCCCCTCTTCCTGCCTCCTCCGGCTGTCAGCCCCAGTTTCCTCTGAGCATATCAAAACATAGACAAATAAACCTTGTCATTCTGAAGTGCCAGCACTAGTGACCACGCTCCTGAGCAGCATGTCATCTGGAATATGGTCACACAATCCTGTAGGAAGTTGTGAAGTGTATAAACACACGCAGGAAGGCACTCTCTCTCTCGTCCTCACACGCATAAACACGTCTCTGGAACTGGAACAAATGTTTAAGCTAATAAAAAACAGGGAACTATACAAAGAGAGACATTGTGAACAAACATTGCATTAGGCTATCTCTGACCTTTTCTTTATCTGCTTGTAGATGAGTGACATGCTGTACTGAACATAAACATGGCCGCTTTTGAGCCCCACAGATATTAAACCTCTCAATGTTCTCACAAAAATGTAGTCAGGATAAGAAATAACATTTCAGCTGGATTAACAAGAAATAACTTTTGATCCATTTATAGGCTTTATGTAAAACTAATAATATTTCATCGTTAGGTATCAATGTATTGAACTGGTCCAGGAATCGACATAAATATAGCAACACAACTTCAGCATATTTGAGTTCAGCCCTTTTAATCACACAACAATGATATATATTTCTTTTCTTAGATCAGTTGTTAGAAATTAAATGCTTGTTCAAAATCTTCATCTGGAAGGTTCCCTTGAAGCCATCATACCAGAAACACAGTGTGCGAGATTAACAGTAATAATAAAAACACAATAATATTCACATAAACAGAAACTCCAGTGCATGTCTTCACAGCTTGTTAATATCTGAAAGTGTGCCTCAGTACAAACAAAGAAAACACCACAGCAAGTACAAACAAAGGCTAAGACATAGTAGGAAAAAAAACTCAACAGGATTAAGAACAATAATGCTAGATGAATTATAAGAATCCGGTAGTAAAGTATTATTTCAGTCCGACATTTCTATTGTTTTTAGGAAAAATATACCAAAGATAAATTTTACACTCCATTTGATTAGTTTTACCTGTTGTGGTCCAACTCAGTTATGTTGTAAGTTGATGACATTTCACTGCTGGGTTGTTTTAACTTGTTAGGTTAGAAAAAAGATCGGAACGAGTCTCATCAGTCTCAACAGGAAGCCATTTTGAACTGTACAACAATCTGATCGGACTTCAATAAACTTCTACCAGAAATGGACAGATGGAAAAATTATGTTGTGTGATAAGAAAATAGTCAGTGGTTTGTGTTAATGGTTTTAGTTCGCTCTAGAGAATAATTTCACTTCACAGAATTTTTCACTTAGATAACATTAACTAGTTAGCTGAGTTTAGTTATAAGTTCACTTTGTATCTCTCTTTTCGGTAACATCAATGTTTGCCACATTTCTTTTAAGCTGTTTTAGGGTTTATAAACCATGTGTGCTGAACTGTGCACATTGCACAAGTCAGTAGCTAGACATGCACTCGTGTTTATGGTGATAAAGTGCTTGCACCAACCTTAAACATGAAATGCTGGTAACATTTTATGAACATTTTGCATAGGCGTGTTTTTACAGATATTTAATCCGTAACTTTTTACTGTTTGCTACAGAGTTGAATTTGGAGATCAGTTGTTAAATAACTTGACTAGGGTGCCTAAATCTTTAAGAATGTCAATTTATGGAAAGCATGAATGATTTTATTGGGGATCCTCACCAAGGTAGTTGTTTTAGTAAAAATTGTTAAAAAGGAATACAAAAAATCTTCCAATTTAACAGTGAATCCAGCAGAAATTTCAACAGATTTAGTGGAGAACCGAGCAGGTGCCAAAAGGAGAACCGTTAATGGCAAGAAAAAGAGTAAAGCTTCATGTTTTGAAGGGCATGCAGGTAATTAGGGCTCCAGATGGGCCAAACATATCAAATGGTGTAGGAGGATGTAATCCCACAATGCTCGGTAACATGTAAACAGCAATAAGAATAGAAACTTATTTACAGCTCCCACAAACACAATTTCACTGTCTAGAACAATGTCAAAATCTGGAATGCTGCTGTGCATGTTACTGAAGACACCGATTCTCAGCTATTGCTGCTTTCACCGGTTTCTCCAACCTCTTATCTTAATGACTTAAATAGCAGTTTAAGTCCAGCGAGCGCAGGAGAGAAAAGAAAAAAAAAACAAAAAAAAAACAAAACAGAGAAATCAAGAATGAAGAAGATGAGTCCATGTCGGGGCCCAGGTGTGTGACCGCCACCCCCTTCACCCTTGATTAGTAGCTGTTGTGGACAAGTGATCCATCATGGGTGTCAAAGAAAAGGAAGCAATTGCCTGGATATGTTTGTTGCTCGCTGTGTGTAAGACAATAAGGCAGGGAGACGGTCCTTGTGTCTATGTATGTGTGTGTGCATGTGTGTATGTGTGTGTGTGTGTGTGTGTGTGTGTGTGTGAGTTGTGTTGCAGCTGATGCTTAGAGGCAATCATGTCAGTGGGAGTGTCATCTCTGACTCTGAGCTGCAAGCAGGAAAACAGAAGTAGGCTCAGCTCAGGAGAGGAGGCTAAAACAATGGCTCTAAAATTTAATATGAACACAAAAGTATTCATCATGCATAAGTATAACAGCATATTTGGATAAAAATTATCTTTTGTTTTCCAGCAGTAGATTAGGTGATTGAAAAAAAAAAAAAAAAAAAAAATCCCCAGTGGTTTTAATAAATAAAGAAAAAAAACACGACTCCTCTGAGAGCATCCTGTGGACATCAGAGCTCATCGTTTCGGATGAATCTGTTGCCTTCTGAGTGGTTGCCGTAGTAGATGTAGCGACACTTGGCGAATACCCCTAAAAAGAGAATAAAACAAAGTTTAGGTGTAAATCATGGTTAGATTATCTTTTTATGCCAGCAATTCTGCAGCAGCTCCCTTCATGGACTGGAGAAGCAGAGAAATCGACTCGTGACCTGAACTGCAAAGTTTTGAGCTTGATCAGCCTGTCTGGTGACCAGCCGGTCAGAAACTCAAAACTGCTCTCCAATCAGCGAGTGCCACGAATGTAGCACTGCTGTTCATGATGGCAATAACACTCTTCAGTGTGGATGTGGTGTGGCAAGTCATTTAAAAGGACACTTGTCATTATGAGCTGCAAAAAGTGAGAGAGAAAGCCTTTTAGCAGATAACAGAAAGGCTGAATGACTGTAGCAGAGCAGCACTGTTTTATTCTTTTAAGCTCTTCATGAGCTGACAGTCCAAAAAATGTTAGCACCATTTATGAAACCTCAGAGTGGAGGTAAAAAGCCACATTTTCCAGGAAAAAGGCTGCGTTGATTCCAAGTAAGTAACAGAAGACAGTTGCAAACAAGTTAGCTCTGTAATCATCTTTTCTTTGTTTTAAAATATTAGTAAAACTGATTTAGCAGACTGTTCTCCATGATATAAAGTTGCCTCTGCTATTAATATGAATCATTCTTCACTACTTGTGACAGAAAGGCAGAAAAAATGCTGTTTATACAGCTAATTATACAGTTCTGCTCGATTTCCATAAAGCACAGCAAAGTTGTACAGATGTCATGACAGGAAAGCAAGTAAAAAATAAAACAACAACAAAAAAACTAAGTTAAAGAAAGTCTTTCTCTCAAAACAAACGAAAAACGGTCGTTTGACACCTGGAAACAATTACACTGAAACGCTGTAGATCTACTTTCAAACTGTCTGAAATGACAAACATTTCTCCTTCTTGTATAGAGAAAATTTCTTTACCTAAACCAAACACATAAGAGCTCAGACACAACGCTGCTTTGGTATAAGTGAAATCAACTTCGATCCACATGGAATCCAATCAGTTGCTGTAGCTGCTATCTTAGCTGGCTAAGGTACATTTATTTTACAAAATATATATTTAATACAGTATTCCAGTATTAGTTATTTTTTGTAATACATGCTATAAAAAGGAAAACCCAAAGTTTTTACAAACTAAAGGTAATCTATTCTTTCAATTTTTTTTATCATATTATATATATATATATATATATATATATATATATATATATATATCAAATATTAGTAATTTCAAAGTGTTTTCATTGTGTAATTATGTTCAATATTGAAACAAGAATAATACGTTTATGTATTTGCTCCAAAAGATGAGGTCAAGTAGATAAACCTGTAATCATTTACACCTAAAAAGGTTAAATAGAAATACAAACTTAAGCTCTTGTATCTGCGTCTACGTCGTTGGCCCCTATCTACATACCTATAATGTTATAGAACTGAAGGTTGTCTGTGGTGGTTTTCTGTAGTACAGAGAGGTGGTGCTGTTCAGGCAGATGGCTGGCCCAAACGCTCTGCGGTCAGTTTGCTGTGGTGCTAACGTCACAAACACTAACATCCCGTCTTGATTAGTGCAGAGGGCTGTACCTCAGTGTCATCTCTTTCCAAATGAGGCAAGGACAAGTGGCATTAGTGCTGTCAATGATCCTCTGACAGCAGGACAGATACGGCTTTCACCAGCTTTTCTAAATAGACATGAAGCGCATTAAAGGAGGAGGGGAAAGGAGGCAGGCCAGACACAAGGCAGGAGTGGAGAGACATATGGGGGAGGCAGTGTCACAGAGGGATGAGGGACGCTCCAAGTGGTAAGTCCAATCAGATAATCCAAAAAGACATTGTCAAGAGAGGGAAGAGAATGGCAACTAAGTGACAAAAAGCAGGAATGGGGACAGAGATACTGGTGCCATATTAGTGCCAAGCATATTCTGATGCCACCCTCAATTCTAACCAAACTTGACACATCGCTCTCTTTCCCCGCTCTCTCTGACTCTTCAAAGTAGGCTCCACCAAGTCACACACACACACGCAACACACAAGTGCACATATGTGGTGCACAGAGATGCACAGGAACCCACACAGCGCACCAGTCCCTTGCAGCAGTGGTGGGTGTTCTGTCAGGCGGAGGAGCAGTACGGCAGCAGCAGAAGCCCACAGGCCCGGGGACAAGCTCAGTCAATCTAAATCTGGACTTTGTAGTGGAGCAGTGCTCATTTCCCCTCATAGCCCAGCTACTTGAGGTGATCCAAACACTGAAGTGTGAGAAGCTGTCACCTCCGATAAAATCCAAGACCAGCTCCATGCCTGCCTGCTCCCCCGGTGTATGAGAGATGTATACATGTGTGTGTGTGTGTGTTTGGGTGCGCATGAGTGTGTATATGCTTTTTTTTTTTTTTTGACAGTGTGGAGGTTGGAAGTGTAGGGGAAGTGGGGGGATGAATTCCAGCTGCCGTGATTTGCCTTGGGACAAAGGTGCCACGGTTGTATACTGGGCTTGACACCACAGGACTCAGGGTATCTCACAGCACTCAGATCAAATGGTTGCCAGGGTCTTTCACATATTCACAGTGTACCCAGCGAAAAACTCACTCTCTCCAGGAGTAGGGCCCTTAAAGAGATTACCCACTGAGGCACCAGAACCAAGTCTCCTATAAGACATTACCTACAGGGGATATATTTGTAGGTTTGCAACCAAAGCCTTTCAGAGATAACCTTCACAGATGAAGGAACTAAAGTAAAGGCCCCACAAGCCTTCACACTCTGCTGAACTCAACTTCAGCCCATGGGTACTGAGAATGATTGGAGAGGCCACACTTTGTAGCTCTCCGGCACCAATTGGAAAGGTCTGGACGATGAGTGACCTGTAGCTCTCTCCAGCAGCGCTAATGTACGCCTGTGAGTAATAAAGAGGACGAGGAGTAAATTAGAAGAAATGGAAGAACAAAGATCAGGGTCTGCTGTCTGCTTCCCAGTGGGTGAAGAAGTGCACAAATGTGACAGTTCTCCATTTCTGCACTACATTAAGTGCCGCATTGTGTGCATAAACAGCACACTCCAGCTTGCTTTCTTCCCCCTCACAGCGAGAGCTTGCACTTATTACAAGAGAAACCAGGTGAAAGATTGGCCTGCTGGAAACGAGGAAGGGAGTAACTAAGCCAAACTCACGCTTACATAATGCCTTCGGAGGCTACGCTCACGCCTCTGGGGTTCTGCCTGATGAACTCATACTTAATGACAAATATTACTATGCCAAACTCAGTACTCCACAGTATCCTCTGTGTATCTTAAGCCACGGCTGGGAGTGCTTATATCACTAACACTGTCATGTTCCCATACATATTTACATCTTCAGCACACAAACTCTGCGCTCCATGAGAACAGTGGGAACCCCCATTGACGTGACAGATTAACAAAGTTATGAGTAGGCTATTGCCTCCATAATGGCCTGGTGGAGCAACAGTCACAGCTTTGCGCTACACGTCTTGTTGTATTTAAAACAAGATATTTTTTTTCCTGAGTCAAACTAGCGCCACTAAAAATGTAAAAACCTTCAGAACATTTTATCCCCTGCAGATGCAGCATTAAGGATGAATTTTATGACATTATCAAAGGAATTGTTAAATTCTTTGACCTTGTATTCTGATTTATTTGCAAAATAATGCTGTAAAAATACAGTAATATTTAATTTTACAGGAAAATATTGTTTTAAATATTTCCAACTAATATTTTAGATTATATATACTTATCACCATTGAGAGCTAAAATGTGAAGTACCAACCAAGATTCCAACCTTACATGTCACGAGCAAAACAAAAATTGAATTAAAAATTCTGACAATATGATTCCAGACTATTTCTCTCCAAGATTACCTTTGCTCCTTGCTGGGTGTCGTGCATTGAACCCAGATGCTGATCTGAACTTGACTTTATATTGTCCGTTATAAATGTGAAAGATTTACCTGTTTTCTACCATATTCAAATGAAATGTGTAGTGTTTCTTTTATTTGTAAGATACAAATAGATAGTGCCAATAGTTCAAAGGGTGTGACAATGTACAAATAAATAAAGTGGCTATCCTATCCTATTCAAAGTGGTGCATTAAATAGAATTTATTCTTGTTTTCAGTTGGATTATAGGATTAAGCTTGTAGGCATTTTGTACCTGACTACAATAAAGCAAGCAATAGTGTGGATGTAGATGCTTTTATGACAAAAAAAAACAAAAAAAAAACTTTTCTCTTAACATTAGTGCAAGCATTCTGTTCTGTTCTGGTTGTGGTCATCTGAAGAAAATGAATCACATTTTAAAGGCAAATTCGCTAAAAACAAGGAGCTATTATGAACAAATTATAATATTGTTAAAAATTCATCTTTTTAGGCAACCCGATTCACTTAGTAAAGCACGTTGCACATAGAATAATGTCTTCAAGTTTATTTTTGATATTTGTTGTTTTCCACTTCCACTTAAACAAATTTAAGGCTGGACCATTAAAAGCATTTTTAATACAACAGTGTCATAAAAAGTATGTTTATTACCTGTATAGGTACTTTTAATCTGACAAACAAACCTTATTGAAACATATATTGTATTGCATAAAATATAACTGTACATCAAGTCAAACAAACACAAGGTTGGTTTTTCAAACACGCTGAAGTTAATCTTGTACTGCACACTTTTCTGAAGTTTACCAGTCTTGGTCTGCAGTGTAAAGACTCTTGCAAAATAGGACAGATTACAGTATTTAGGTCACTCTGACCCTTGTGGGCATGGACATCATGAATTGGCCTTTAGAGTTCTGCTACCTGACCTGAAAGTGACAAGTATCAACAAAGTCCAAGCTGCTCCTTCCATCTGAGTTTTCTGTAGCAATGATAAAATTATACTGCCCAGGAGGCACTTCCGAACTACATCGGGCCAGTAATTTAGCAGTCACTACATCACACAATACTGCAAAAATATCACTGGGGTCTTGGGTACAAATTCAAACATTGCAGGGCTACTACTGATTCTGTCTGTTGAC